AAATAAACTTGTATCTACAGATGTTCTCCGAGAAAGTTCTGTTCTGTTCAGTAAAAGGAGGAACCTTTCAGGTCGCCAATCATGACAAAATTAAAATATTTACAAGTTCGACATAAATATAGCTTTGTGAATGGAAGGCTGTGAAGAATGTAAAGTCCCACCATCCACACATACACTTCCACTTGCTCAAGCAGAATTGAAAGTTGAAATCACTACGAATATGATGTTATTATTTAGATTAAGTTAAATTGGGTAGATAGGTTAACACGTGGTTCGAATTTTCTGATTCAAACAAACAAAATACAATTAACAAATCAAAGTTTTGTTTCTTCTTGGTATGCTTGAGTCCTGATCTATTGTGTTGCTTTTCTACATATAGCAACTTTTGTTTTTAGACAGTCATAAATACATTCACCGAGTTTATAAATAAAGCTGCTTATGATTAGTATAAAATGATTCTTTGATGGGTTAACAATATAATATGAAATAAATAGATGAATTACTTAAACACTTCTAAACATCAGGAGCAAATCAATGGGATATCTTAGGCACATTGTTGCCTGCTCTGAAGATTTTAGATATGATTCATGACAAAACCAACATAGCGCAGTCTGATCAGGATCTATGCTGTTCGCTATCAGTTTATCTTCTTGTAATAGGGTTTGTAAGCGAACAGCATGGATCCTGATCAGACTGCGCGGATGCGCAGGCTGGTCTGGATCCATGCTGGTCGCAAACCTATTATGTTGGTTTTGTCCTGACGCGGCTCATATGTCTACGGCTGCAGAGAAACCCAAATGGATCCTACAATTTCTTTTAAGAACTGCAGACCTGAAACTTATGCTGGGTTCCCACTGCCGATCAGATCAACTCGATCATCCCGATCACCCAAATTCCCCGATCAGGCCCGACCAAGCTCGACTAAAGGCGTATACACGACTTCTTCTCGACCTCTTGTCAATCACACACGATTCCCACACGATTATTCACGACTCCTTCACGACGTCAACCCGACCACCTTTCCGATTTCCGCTCGATCATCCCGACCTTTACACGATCCCTACCCGATCTCAACTCGACCTACTGGATCTCTGCTCGGTCGGTGTCAGATCTTTCCCCGACCAGATCGTCATGGTCGTACTCGAGTCGTAGAAGGTCGTGAACAGTCGTGTACCAAAACTTTTAGAATAAAAACTTCAAACAGTGTTGATCATTATCACTTCATCTTGAAACTTCATAGTATATGTTGTGTCCAGCATAGTATAAATATTTATGGAGATTGAGCACAAGCAGTTGTGGGCCAGATGGTTAGAGCTCCAGAGAGACAGGGCCATTGCTGTGCTAGAGTTGGAACAAGAGGAAGAGGCTGAGGGTCGTAGGCATAGACGTAGGCGACAAATGCGCAGTAAAATATTGATGAAGCAGTGGCTTGCACGACGACCACTGTATGGGCATTATGAGCAACTGCTACAGGAGCTAAACAGGGAGGACCCAAAAGGATACAAAAATTTCCTAAGGGTAGACGCTGATATGTTTGGGGAGCTTGTTGATCGCATATCACCCAGAATTCAGAAAAAGAACACAAACTTCAGGTAAATCATGGGTTCGATCCCCATCATTTTCACGTATTTCTGAAATAATTAGTCATCGAATTACTTTTCCAACCATTTGACTTCTACAGATCTGTGCAATTGTCACTAATATTTAAGAAATTTTAATACCGTTGTATCATAGTAGGCTAGTTATTACTTATCATTGTTCAATCTCTATTTCAGGGAAGCCCTGGAGCCTGGATTGAAGTTGGCGGTCACTCTTCGTCATCTCGCAACTGGAGCCTCGTATTCAGACTTGATGTACTCATTCCGAGTGGGGAAGTAACACAATAAGTAAATTCGTCCCTGAAGTTTTGGATGCTATAATACAGGAGTACTCTGAAGAGGTGCTGCCAGCCGTCGTCACTGCTGAACAATGGCAGCAGATTGCAGATGACTTCCGAACCAAGTGGAATTTTCCTCATGTCTGCGGGGCTCTTGATGGTAAGCAAATCAGCTACAAATGAGCCGCGTCACGACAAAATCGACATAATGGGTTTGCGACCAGCATGGATCCAGACCAGCCTGCGCATCCGCGCAGTCTGATCAGGATCCATGCTGTTCGCTATGTGTTTCCCTTCTTTTAACAAGGTTTGTAAGCGAACGTCAAATCGTCAATTTTTTGTTTGTTTACTGGGCCCTGTATGTATTGTGCATAGGTAAAACCGGGCTATAACAAGAGCGCGTGACTATGTTAACACATGGTTTTGGTCCCGTTTTAACATGGGCAAAAGAGGGAAAAATAGCCGATTTTATGCTATAATGTTAAAAATCTTCCGATAATTTACAGCGGTAAAATGATTTTTACAGTAGTCGGTAAAATACAAGTGATACCAGACACCAAAGTATCATCAAATTATATTCTCCGGCATCTTTACGATATAATTAAACCACTGAATTTAGAATAATTTCACAGTGAAACGTTTGTCATATGTGCAGCTACTAAAAGTAATCTCATTGTACCATACATTGACACTATCAACATTAAAAAACGTCTGTTTTTTTCTTTCTTGAATTACAAAATATCAAACATATTGAAAGGGTTGAACGTACGAGGGCTGTTCAAAAAGTTCGTGGACTGCGGTTCTACTGTTTACATCTTTTAATTTGCTTACGCGATTTTACAAGAGACAGATATTGGAATATGTCCTTAATATATAGTTAAAAAAATCAATACAATATGTTTACAAATAACATTTTATAAATCACAAGGGATACACGATCCGGCGCACGCTGGTGCGTAAACAAAACTTTCATAATGTCTGTCTTTCTGTAAATCATTTGCTTTTGACGTTAAAAACGTCCTAACAAATTGCCGCTTTCTTGCTCGCCATTTCTGTCTATTATCATGTATTCGCCGTCCTTGTATCGATTGCGCCACCTGAAACCGAGAGACTGGCTCACCAACTCATTGTTCCTCGTTCATTTAACAACCTCATATCTATTTGAAGGAATATACCACTTTTGTTATTAAAATTTTCCAAAAGCGTGCATTTCTACTTTTAAACGTGCTTCATATTTCGCAATTTACCCGACCGTCTACTGCTGCCCAAAACCGATTTGTTCAGCCATTCAACGTCCAAACAATGTCAAATTTCAGATTTATGTCATTTAAATATTAATAGATAAACTTGTAGTTTATTTCATGAAATGACCATTCAGTTTGTTTCAACATTTGTTTACATTTCAACATTATAATTATGAAAATTTCGGCGTGCGCCGATGTAGCGTTACCATGATTATTAAAGAGCACATAGCTCGTAAAGAAAATTAAAGTTTACAATAATAGTAAATCCTACTTTTAGAAATAAAGACACTCTTTCGATTCATATCAACTAAGTTTGTTTTCATGATCCAAGTAAAAAATGACATCAAAAGTTCACGAACTTTTTGAACATACCTCGTATGTCTTTATTGAATACCGCCCTTCCTTGTTGGTCTTTTGTTGTTCAGTCTGAACCATATATTGAAGAACAGAACTGGCGCCATTTAATGTTATAATTAACTTGTATATTGCTTCTTCGGTTCCATACATTGATTAAATGATTTCATATAATTATTATTAAATGAAATGATAATTCAGTTTCATGTAAGGACCTATCGTTCCGTACATGTCTACTTTGGTAACATATATTGTAGAATTGGTATCCTAAAATGCCAAAATCAACTTATATATTAATACTTAGATTCCATATACTGAAACCGTCATTGTATATATTGAAAAATGAATAAAATAAGGATAAATCGTATACGTATAAGAATATCTGGTTCCATATATGGCTACTTTGGTACCATATACATGAATTTGGTATAATATATTGAGAAAATCAACAAATTTATAGCTACCTTGGTTTTATGCACTGATACACTGTTGGTATGGTTTTATTATTGTAAATGTTGATTTATCGTTTCCGATTGTGTTTTCATTTCATATATTGGCGATGTGAACTTATATAATTATTATACACATGGTTAAATTGATTTAAAAAACGAACAAAATAAGACAGTAATAGCTTTCCAAAGTAAAAAATAGTAAACTATTGAATTGGCTTAGTATATCAAATGAATGAATTTTTTTATGATTAGTGATTTATAAACATTTAATGATTTATCTTTCTCTTTTCATGTAAATTTTGCAATGAATATTTAATGTAAACTATAAGTCAGTTTTCCAATCCAGGAAGTTTTCAATTATTCAATTTCATCAGATACAAAAAGTGACACCTCTTTTTGAAGTTATAATATAAACATTAATATCAAATTTTCTTTCTTGAAGGTATGATTAAGTGAGGATTATAGAAAACTTTTATAAAACTTTGCATCGATGGACACTTTTTCATTTATTTTCTTTTCTTAATGTTTAAGCCTATTCCAGCTGATACAAAAATTAGAACCCCCTAAGCATTTAACCATATGAGGTTCTGCGGAATTGAGACTTTGGCTCAAAAGGACAAGTCCGAAATAACGAGAAATTAAATGAAATGACAATTCATAGTACGCTTTTCGGCTCAACGTCGGTAAAATACGTAAGTAATTCCTATAACAGCGGAAAGGCCGAGGATCGGGTGAAAGGTAAATTCATTAATACATTTCGGAAATAAACCAAAAATCCTTTGAACCTGTGCTGCTGTAAATCTATAGCCGAGAGACAAAATGTTTTCCGGCTGCTCCGTTGGTTCCGGCTTTCTGGTTAACTCCACGAACATCTTATTTAGTTACATAATATCAATAACAAAAGCGTTTACATTGATTCGTATGGAGTACGCTTTATATTAATTCAGAATGATAAAACGCTGTCGTTATTTATCCCAAAACGGATAGATAAAAACGTTGTTTTTTAATACTCAAGATTTGCTGTATCACACCAGACAGTTTTCATACATTTCATCCTTGTAATATGGGTATATGCATACTGTAAAAACAAAATTTCATAATTCAACACCAGGAAGATGATGTAGGAAGTGTTTTACTAAAATTACAATTCATTCGTTTCATAAATTGTTCATGCGTAGATGGATAAAGAATAAACGGAGGATTAAAGCTTTAAAGGGTATTTTGAAATTTTGATATTTCAATTTTCTATAATATTATTATTTGTAGCAATGAAATTAAACAGTCTACATCTTTTAATTACATGACTGATGATCGTTTTCACAATCAAACAATGATATTTTTTTCAATGTTACCATTACTTTACTATTTTTACAGAAATACAATTTATATTTATAAAATCCAAAAAGGTTTTCAGTCAAACCAAATCTGCAATTTTTAATGTAATTTTGCTGTATTTAATGCTTCCGATAGACACACTTTTTAACATATTTCATAAAACACACGTAAAATATACTTAACCAAAAATAAAAAAGAATCTCCCCCTGTGTTTAAGTGGTGATAAAGTGTTATTTAAAAAATGAGCATATGACCTACATGTCTTCGGTTTATATCAAGCAAATGATTATGTGTTAGATTAAACATTTTTTAACTCGATTTTAACTCATTTTGCAGGGAAACCCACAGAACGCGATTTTGACGTGCAGCCACATATCAGTTTATTCGTGCATATTTTATAAAATCATTAAGTGTGATATTAGAGACTTTCATATCAATAAGAAAAATGTCTTTTTTTTCCCCATTTTTTAATTTTAGAATTCCGCAAAATTTAAACGAACAAGCAAATGGCATGCTTAATGCTGCTATGACGATGAATGCCGTCGCTATAAATATTGGATGTTCTTCTTGTGATATTTGACGCATTAGGCAACCTTTTCATGTGACAGGGCATAAAAAAGATCGACCACACAGCGGACGTCAACGCGTCCAGACGCGTGCCAAAGACCTCTATATTCAAAACATCCACCTGCGCAATAGCTTCCAAACTGCCACAGGTACTGCTGCGAACACCCCCGGTACACATAACAACCGTATATCTGCCAAACTGTGCGCAATCGCTTGTGCAATGGTGGGCTACATGGTCGTCGCCCATACGTTGGTTGCGTTATGAGGCGAGGTCCCCGCGTAAATCGTGTTAATTGGGCATTTACACACAAACGCTGGCTTAGGCAACAATGGAATAGCTTTATTTTCTCTGATGTGTCGAGGTTTTTTATTCATCGAGCTGATGGCTGGGTTCTAGTATACAGTAGTACTTGAACGAGATCGTTTTGGGGGTTGGGCTTCTGTCATGGTCTAGGCAGGCATTGACATGGCTTTCGCACTAATCTCGTCGTTATCGAAGGGAACTTAAATGCACAACGCTACCGCTGTAGAGTTCTTGCAAAGCGCATTATCCCACTGTTTCAAAATAATTCAAATATCTCTTTTTTTTCAACATAAAAATGCCATAAGCACAGATAGGGACACTGTTAATTTTATCAGGGCGAATAACATTGCATAAATTAATGACTGTTCTGCCAAAAGCTCTGATTTAAATTCCATTGAACACCTTTGGGATAATATGTACCAGCGTGTAAGACGTCGTCATATTTCACCGTCAAACGTTATTTAGCTAAAACAAGCCTGTATCTAGTAATAGAACAACATTCCACAAGCCGAAATTAATACGCTTATCCGTTCTATGCGCTAACGATGCCGCTCAAGGTTGTCATATCCGATATTTATTTGTGATTTTTTGAGCGACATCTTCTTAATTTTAACTTCCTTATCACTACAGTTGGATAAACCCTCAGCCATTTTTTTTCACAAAAAATGCAAAGAAAACTCTTTCAATACATACAGTATGAATCATCTTTAATCCTGATTTTCATATTTGTGTATATCTGCATTTAAATACATGGGAAGTTTCTTTTATTGTTCAGTATATATATCATGAACAGTCAGTGCCCATTGATGCTGCTGTAAATGCCAAGTTAATATTGATAAGAGTAAACAGATATAAATAGTTAACACATGTATACATTTCGTAAAGTGCAAATACCAATTTTGTTAGTGCAAATTAGTCGCATTTCATGTAATTAACATTTTATATAAATGCTTTATTTTTTTGTGGAAGAACCCTGCAATACATCTTCTGATGAATACTTTGCACTGAAATTATTTGATCTTAACAAAGTTTATTCCTTTATTATTGTGTTATTATTGATTCGTCTATTAAACATAAACACATTTTACATAGACAATCAATCTAAGCATTCCTTCATTGATTGTTGAAATGACAACAGATAAACATATTTGACTTGTACGATAATGCATCATTTTAATAATTCAATGAAGATTATTAATGACAATCGTCTCGCCGCAGAAATTAATAAAACAATTCCTTTGATGTTTTTAAATTAAATCACTTTTATAAAAATCAGTTAAATCTGAATATCAAAATACTTTCCCTTAAACTAGACTGCTATACTGTTAATCATAGCACTGTTAAAAGTCTCCAACACCTCTATCATTCCTAAACAAGTTACGAAATCATATTTATAGTCATTTATTTCAGGAACAATGAAACCAAGGAACTGTGCGTATAATCACTTTATTTCGCTTGCTTATTTGCTACTTCAAACATATGGATTGATTGAGATCCAAATGGACGATGATTGTTCGCTGGAGAATTCGATGGTCGTATGTGAAAATAAAATACCTCTTGTCGTACCTAGTAAAATATCAGGCATTGTGATCAGGGACTACTTAAGTGATACTATCGTCAATGGCACGTTTGCACATGCCAGTTGGTCCTCTGTTGATTTCCTAGATATCACTGTCAACCAAGATGTATTTTTCCAGCTTCATGACTTTAATTTTTTCTCACTAAATACTTTATCACATCTTGGCGTACATGCGCCATATTATAAGTTCAACAACGAGACAAAGGTTTTTGGAGGACTATCAATGTTACACACATTGGACTTATCGTTTTGTCGTTATCTCGATGCATCAGCCATTGTTGAATTGCTCTCTACAGTTAAACACGTAGATACTTTGCTTCTGGATCAAATAGCTACATCTGGTGATCGATTTTTTATATTTGATAATGTATTTATAAAAGCAGTCCATAAAAAGAAAATACACAAGCTTAGCATGGGTGGATGCAATTTATTATTTAAGGATATGTCGTATGGGCCTAATATGTCTATGGATTTGTATGATTTAGACATTTCTAATACGTCAGTTATAGCACAGAGCACTCTACTTGATCAGTCTGCCATCGGAAATTTATTTCCAAAACTCAAAGTTTTAGATTTGTCTCTACTACAGACCAGATTTGTGGATTTAAACTATGGTTCAGTAAATAATATAAGTTTAGACGATAGTTGTACCGACACGAACAGTTACTTAAAATACCTATTGAGGCTAGAAAATCTTACGCTAAACAGTATACTGTCCAAACCATTCAGGGCAAACAATTCATTTTTTGATTTATCAAAATGCAATGTCAATTTGCGGTCACTACATTTAAGGTCAAATCACATATATTACTTAAACTCATCTATCCTATGGCCAGAGGATATGTATTTATATGATATCGACATGTCTTCAAATGGCATTGAATATCTGTCTCCCACGATTTTACATTCTGTAACATCATTAGAAATATTGAACCTTTCAAACAATGAATTGCATCATATGCAATATTTTAAAGAGTTTAGTCATTTGTTCATGAACCATACAATTTTACGACAATTGGTTCTTTCTAGAAACCGTTTAAGATTTCTTCCTTTCACGACTTTTTCTCACAACACCAACTTAATTATTTTAGATTTGTCATATAACAAATTAACTTCAATCAGTTTCGAATTAAAACATTTAATAAAATTACAGTTTCTGAACTTGAGAAACAATAATATATATTATATTGATGGTGTTGAATTGAACACATTAAAGGCATTTGTAACAGATTTCTCTAAGCATCGAAAAATATATCTTGGGAATAATCCGTTCATTTGTGAATGTACATCAACACGTTTTATCAAATGGTTACTCGTGTACATGACAAATACTTTCAATCAAAGCCTGACTTGTTCTTTGAATGATAACGATGCTGTTGTCATTAATGAGGCTGTGATCAAAGAGACGGAATTTTCTTGCATTCGGTCAAAAATAATCATAGCTTCAGTTTCAACAGTTGTGTCAATAATAATTTTTGTTTCAATTGGGATTGGTTTTATGTACTACAAGAAGAGGAAGCAGAAAAGAAAGAGACAAAGGAACAATTTTATTGAGGATTTCAAACTTGGTAATATTCTGGAAAAATATTTGTGTTTTGTATCTTATTCTAGCGACGACAATGAAGCAGACGTCATGCATGTTTGCAATTTATTAAAAGAGTCATTACAGGAATTGACTCAGACTAACAAAGAAGTTCTTTGTGTGGGCAATAAACAGTTTAATCTTGGGTTTACAATCGTTGATGAAATAATACGATGTATAAAAGAAAGCTGTGTTGGAATTTTCTTTGTGACAACCAATTCTTGTCAAAGTCAATGGTGTGAAATGGAACTTCGAGAATTTTACGAATTACACAAACCAATTATTCTTATATTTAAAGAAGAAATCGATATTGGAACTATGTCTCCAATAATGTTAAATGTCTTTAGACAATATACCCGAGCTAAGATTAATATTATAGATGATCAGATACAAATGACACCGAATTTAGACCAATTATCAAATTCCATTCTATTGCTAGCGTCATCTCATTTTTGTAAAGGTATTTTGTAATTAAAGAAATATTTTTCAATGCAGAAAAAGTTGTAGTAATGTAAAATAAAATATAATTCTATTTCTCCTACGTTGATTTTCCCTCTTTATGTTAGTATGATAGTTTTGATAAAATATTTTTATGTTATCTGTAAACATAATATTTGTTTCTCACAATTTCAATGTTTTTGGTGAGCGAGTACGTATTGCTTATATAAGTTTTATACATTTTGATTTACTAAATTTTTCGGTTTTTTTTTAAAGATAAGTAAAATTTTAAAATTTTTAAGATACCCCCCCTACCCCAAATCATATGCTTTTAATTTTTTGAGTTCAACAGAACCTTCTTTAAATTAAAAATTTAAAAAGTTTATAAAATTGGGAATATGGGGGTTTTTA